GAGCTATTGGCACAGAGCCCGATGAGAGGCTCGAGCTCACAGATCGCAAGATCATGACCTGATCTGAAGTCAGACGCTCAACTGACTGAGCCACCCAGGTGCCTCACTAAATATCTTTTTAAAAAACAACAACAAAAAAAATAGCTATTGTTATTTAGTAGTGAAGTAACTATAGATTACCATTATTATATATAATGAAGTTCAGATTGAAGATCAGTTAGTTTTCCAAGGAATATATCTTAGAATATATCGTAGATAAGACTTTGAAGGGAGATATTTCCTTGAATTTGTAGAACTTAATTAAATGCCATTAGGGTGAAAATCTAGCTCTTTTAACCATGTAAGCTTCTTCCCTCATTACAGAAATATTGCCTTCTATCTTTGAGAATAATTGAGACATGTCTTAGGAGCTGAAAATGAAAAGAGCTCATTCTTCTTTTCCAGTTTGAATTAAGGAAAAGGACAGGTAAAGACTGAGAAACTTAAATTAAATTGAATGAAATCTTGTCATCAGTAGGCTCTGTTCTTATCCAGTTAGGCTAGTTATAGCCAGAGCTGGGTCTTAGCAGACAATGCAAGGCAGCCGGTTAGAAGTGGTCATCCTTAGTAGGACATGAGTAAAGCTGGATATACAACCAGCTAGACCTGCATCACAGGAGTTATGACAGATCCAGTAAAGAGCTGAAATATGGGTAGGATCAATCTAACTAAGATCCTTGACTGAATTTTTAGAAGTCTTACTGCGGAGGGGCGCGTGGATGGCTCAGTGGGCTAAACGTCTGACTTGGGCTCAGGTCATTATCTCCCAGTCCATGGGTTCGAGCCCTGCATCAGGCTCTGTGCTGACAGCTCACAGCCTGGAGCCTGTTTGGGATTCCATGTCTCCCTCTCTCTCTGCCCTTCCCCCACCCATGCTCTGTCTGTCACTCTCAAAAATAAAGAAACATTAAAAAAATTTTTTTTTAAATCTTACTATGGAATGAATCTTACCAATTTGGTGGGATGAGAGATGCAGGAATGCTCAGAAACTAAAGTGAATGAGTCTTGCACTCTGAAATATTCTAGAATTATTTCACTGTATCACAGAGTCAGAGCTGTATCTGTCTCATACGTAGTACCAAGCTTTTAAAACAGGTCTTTTCCTGGTGTGCCAGGCAGGCTGTGTCTTAATCTAGGCATATATGTATTCATGTATGTCTTCAGGATTCTTTAGTGTGCAAATTTAGCCTGTGTATGCAAGAACCATTCCATTTCATCCACATGTAGGCAAACTAGCTAAAAATTTTTGCTATTGAGGTTCTTTGTCCAGTATTTTATTTTCACTCTTTTTTTAAGAGACTGTTGACTAAAATTTTTCTTTGGTTTGGTTACATCAGTTTTTTTTTTTTTTTTTAAATCATCATTATTAGTTTCTTTATATATATTACTTTTTTCGTTAGGATGGACGTTTGAAGCCAGGAGATCAACTTGTCTCAATAAACAGGGAATCTATGATTGGTGTATCCTTTGAAGAAGCAAAAAGCATAATTACTAGAGCCAAGTTAAGGTAACTCTCCTGTCCATAAAGTAGAATGAGTTTTTTAACATGTCTTCTCAAAAATAGTAATTTAAGAGACTTAAATACTTTAGACCCTAAAAGAAGTATATTTTCATAATATTTGAAACATTATCTTAAAATTCAGTTGTGCCATATCCATAACCTATCCATAAAGTTATTGCTTTTTAATGCTAGGTCAGAATCTGCTTGGGAGATAGCCTTCATAAGACAAAAATCGGATGGCAGTCATCTAGAAAATCCATCTTGTACATCCCTTTTACAAGCTTCAGGAGAATATGGACCGCAAGCCTCAACATTTAGCCTTCTTCCTTCTCCCCCTGAAATACTAATTCCAAAGACCTCATCTACTCCCCAAACTACAGATACCATTTTATCTTCTTTTAGGAGAAATCAGGTAATCTTACATTTCTCCGGTCTGTATATTTTTACGTTTGTTACATACACATAGAATTATAATTTCGGCAATGCAGTTTATTAACATTTTGGTATTCACTTGAAAGATCTTTCCTTTTTTTCCTGCTTAAGAATTTTATGCTGTGCCGTGTCAATAATACAATTTTTCAAGTCAGTGTGTCTTTGGTTCAGAAAGTCAAGATCAGGGAGGGCCTTGCAAAGATATGCCTAGATAGCACTCAAAACTGTGTTAGGCATGTCATATTTATTTTCAGAAAGTGTCTAATGGTTTCTTGTTATTCCTATTTTCTGCTTGACTGAAGACAGGCAATCTACCTTTTTGTTCTTAGCTTATTCTCCTGCACAGTGAGACAGTAATCCTGATTACCCAGTGTAGGTGGATATGGTTCCCTCACGTGTGTATGCTAATACCTAGTTCACCCCAGTAGAATCACACAGAAGGAGGAGTTTCTACATCAAAATCAGCAGTTAATTACTAATTGCTGCAGTGCCCTAACAAATCAAAGTTAAAACAAATAGAGCATATACTCTTAAATTCCATGTTAGCTATAGAACAAAATAGGAAACTCAGGTAGGCTTTCAATCAATGGAATAAAATTCATCAAAGGTAATTTCAGTTTCAAGTGCCTGCTAATAAGATGCAGAGTGTAAGATTATCTGTCAGCCTCTTCTACTTTTTTTATTTGGGGTTATAATACCTTTCCAAAGATAAGGTACATGGCCTTATGTTTTGTTGTCCTTCGACAGCATAGAGCTGAAAGCAGTTGTTACCTTTAATTCTGAAATGCTTTGCTTGAAGATAAATATACCAAAATTTTAGAGATTTCATATTTTTTGGACCACAGCTTTAATCTTATAAACCATTCTTTTTATGTTAACATGAGCTTCTAGTCTGGTCTTTGACCTACTTTAGAAAATGACATTTTATATTCTTCCTTTTCTTTCATAGATAAAAACTGGATACAAGAAAACAGAACAGACTCCAATTACTTCTTCAGAAAACAGCCCTACGGATATGTCTAATACAGGTAAATGCACATTTAATTCCTCTTTACTGTTATTTCTTTCAATTACTCTTTCTCAACGAGGAGTACATAATGTGACTTAATAGACTTTAAAGAAGAGTGCATTATGCCCTTTTTCCTTCAATGAATAAAAGAGTAAAATGAATGTATTGTGCAGTGGTCCTTGTTAGATTATGATTTTTATTAGAAATTTTCCTTAACAAAGAGTTGAAATTTTAAGATGCATTATCATAACGGTGTCTGTGAAGCTGTAATAACCAATGGACTGTTGAAACCAAATAATGTAAACTCACCTTTAAATCAAGATTAGGCTGCCTTGTCCTTTTAGTGAAATACTGATGAGGTTTATTAAACCCACCTTTAAGAGATACTATAGATAGGAGCATAGCTTAAGAAATATGTTTTTTAAGAAGAGATTATTATAGATGTAAGTTAGAAAGAACATCAATGTTATGAATTGAATATTATTGCTTATGATTACCATAAAATGATTTACTGACTTTTTAAAACAATAAAGTATTAACTGTGTAACCTACATAAGAAAAGAATTTTTATCAAACTGTAAAGTATCTGTTAGTGGCTGAGATATCAAGAAAAAAAAGCCTTCCTTTTAAATTATCTCCAAAAATTAAGTACTACAACAACAATCAAAAAGCCATGCTTATAGAAGGGAAATTTTAATTGCATATGTTAAAATTATAATGCAAACTGTTACCTGTATATTTTAATTTTTAATGGCATTAATCTAGATCAAAATTGTAAAATAAGGACAAGTTAGTATAAATTATATAGTATGATAGTCCACTTGGGCTACTGTAACAAAATACCAAGACTGGTTGGCTTATCAACAACAGACATTTATTTCTTACAGTTCTGGGGGCTTGAAGTCCAGGATTATGGTGTTGGCAGGGTCCTGGTAAGAGCCTTCTTCAGGTTGCAGGCTTACCTTCATGTCCTCATGTGGGGAGGGAGTAGGAAAGCCTGTGGGATCTCTTTTATAAGAACACTAATCCCATCCATGAGTTCCTCTCTTATGACCTAAGGCCCCATCTCCTAATGCCATCATCTTTGAGGGTTAGGGTTTCAACATGTGAATGTGGGGAGGACACAAACATTCAGACCACACAGCACACAGGCACCACACTTAACAGGAACTTAAAGCGGATTCCATAGTGGTTTCCTCTGATTTGGAGCAGTATTTACCAGTGGGTCGGCAGCAGTCTTTAGCCATAAATTATATGCCTTTTTATTGGGTGGAGTCTGTTGACTCTTAGAAACTTTATTAGTATTATCCCCTTAATGTAATTAATTTCTATTCTCTGGATGTATTGTTTTTTCTCATGTGAGAAAAAAAAGATAAATGAAAAAAACAAACGATGGTGAGGATACATTTATATAACATGTTTTTAATTTTGAAAGTAATTGAGGGGCACCTGGATGGCTCAGTTGGTTAAGCATCTGACTTCAGCTCAGGTCATGATCTCACGGCTTATGAGTTCGAGCTCCACGTCTATCTCTGTGCTGACAGCGCAGAGCCTGGAGACTGCTTGGGATTCTGTGTGTCTCTCTCTCTTACCCTCC